CAGCAGGTCCCAAGTATGTACCCACAGTGTCACTTGCAGCTGCCTGTTCCTTTGCAGAATGCCACAGGCAGCAGCTGTGAAATACACCTTTCCATCCCCATTCCACACTGTCAGTGAAATTACAGACTTGCAAACAAAACTTGGGCAAAACAGCCTAAAACAGCTCAACAGAACAAACATTCATCTTAAATACAGATTTGCTTAAAGCTCTGCATTAGGTGTTGTTTCACTTGATAAAGAAGTTACTCACCATCATGGCTGTGATCCACATGACTGCATGTCCTACATCGTAAGCATTTGTTAAGAATCTTGGAACAACCACCTGATTGCTTCCCACTGGAAGATTTAAACTCCTCAGAATCCTAGTAAAAATCTAAATAAAAAAGAGAAACAAACAACGGCATAAATTAATGTTATGAAATTGGTATATATTAATTTTCTAGTCTAAAGGTGTTTGGTGGGTTTGGTTCTATGACTACCATGAACATCTCTAAAAATTCTGGAAGCTGAAAGACTTCAAAGGTTTTATCTACTATTTATCATAGGAGTATCACGAAGGGCTCTTTCCATGAGAACATGGGATTAGTTACACAATCAGACAGTCCTGGTATTGTCAGGTTTGTTGTTGTTTTGGTTTGGTTGAGTCAGGTGATTCCAACTGTCTGTTCCAAAAGGATGGCTCAGGCTTTCACAGTCAATCATAAATGGATGCCCCTGATTTGACAGACTGTGCCAGTGCAGTGTGAGAGCCACACAAGGAGTGTGAATTAGACCTGGTAACTTTATGAAATAGGAACTTACCTTTGGTACATATGGATCCCAGTCTATGTACCCGATGTTGTCAGTGGCCAGGCGAGCAAAAAGATTCACTAGATGCTGCAAACAACCAGAGAAGAAGGAAATATTTACTCAAATGTTATAAAAGATGCACAAACCTCTCAATCTACTTCAACTATGCAAGATAAAAGCAATCCATGGCACTAAAGCACTTGTGAAAACAGACTTCTCCTTGAGTTCCATGCCATGTGTACCGACCTAAAATAGCATCTAGAGCCATGGAAGAAAATTCCATCAACACATCTCTTTGGCTTTTCCCAATATTTAGCTATTTAGGACTATTTAGCCTCTGTAGGATCCATCCTACGCAATGTGAGCTTGCCTGTGCTGATGGCTGTCACAGTTGTGTGCTTTGGTTTATACATATCAGTGGCATGGAATGGTCACAAACATCAGCTGTCACATGGGAGGGCAGCTTGGGACTGGCCATGAAGGATTAGATACTCCATCATCACAAGACAAGCTCATGAGTCCAAAAGGGAACTGCAAGATGTCCTCAGGAAAGAGAGTTACTGAGACTAAACTAAAAAGATGAAATCTCACTCTTGTATTCTGATTGTGAAAAGCACCTCATCCACCAACATTCCTTAGGAGCTTGTTCAAATCAGGAAATACCTATCAGGCTCTCAATGCTTCTGTTGAGTATCTTGAAGCTGTGGTGAAGTCAAAGGAAGGGCCTTAAAGAATCCTGCCTAATTCAGAGACAGAGATGCACAGAGGAACACTCCACCTCCATCCAAAGGACACAACAGCTTTGGAAAACCTGTAACTTTCTTTCAGAACAGTCACAGCTGACACAGCCTGAAAGCAAGGGTTATATTTTCTTAAATCACCTTCCTTTTTTGCTTGATATGAGGAAATACCCACTGGAAAAATTCCTTACTATGTGCACAGGCAATTGATTCCTCAACTCCCTTTCAAACAGCAGGTCTAACTGCTGCCAAAGCAAGCTGAGGAAAAGCTTCAGCACACAAGAGGCTTAAACTGGATTGCCGAGTCAGAACCCATGTGTCTAATTATCTGCATCCAAGCCTGGTGAAATGAACAAGCCTGACTGTAAGAAGTGGACAAGACAGCAAAGGAAACAAGTGAAAGTTTTGAGGAAAAAACCCAAGTAAACTGTCAGACTACAGTGGAAGAGGGAAAAACATCAGAGAGAACTTATGAAAGCGGACTGATGATTATCTGTTAGACTGAAACAAACCAAGTCATGATATCCAGGGGCAGTTGACACTCTTCTGTCACAAACAGACAGAATCATGATTTTTTTTTTTTTTTTTTGGACAGACATCAGGAAGACGCAAAGGTGTCTACAGACAATCTCAATCTCAAATATAACTTTGGCATCATCTGTGTTCCAATCTGAGCAACTGCCAACTTTTGGGACCAAGACTGCCTCCCTGGATTTGTATGAAACATAACAGTGGCATTCAGCAGTGGTTTGGCAATCAGCTTTCTCCACAGACACTGAAGTTCTCCTTGTGCATATAGGCAGATGGTCAATGAGCTTATGTTCATACCGAGTATGGGAAAAAAATGGTGACATGCCAAGATTCACTGCAGCAAAGCCAAGGCACAGGTCAGCTGACACCAACAGCACCAAAGCTGCTGCTGGTGTTGCCTCAAGAATGACATTTTGATGTCCCAAGTTTGTATCTAGTCATATGAGCCATGCAACAAGGACAGACAGGTACAGGACAGACTATTTTCCTTGAAAGATATAGCCCAAGTGTATTTTTTGGCAAGAGTAGAACAGGTTCTTTACCGTGTGTCAAGTAAAGAAGACAGCAACCCATTGCAGTGAAGGCAGAACATTACTACTCAAAATTAGGGACCATCAAAGACAGGTTAAGATACAAAAGACAGGACAGGATTATAATTAATAAAAAGCACAATATACTTTGCATAATTTAAGTCTGGAAAATGCCAGCATTCCCAAGGCTGGGAAGAAAAGCTGCCTGAGCTGGCTATTAACCTTCCTCAACTGCAGTCTCATTTATTCAGACAGTAATTGCTTGCTAACAATAATGAAATTATTGTCTCTGCTTTCTTGTACTAGTTCAAGCAGAAGGGAAAAAATCCATTATATCACTGTTTGGCTTCAACTCCTTGCAAGCACACTGTAGGAGTATTTCAGTGGGGATTTCTTCTAGGGTAGGTAAAAAGCAAATACTTACCCCTTCCCATTGGGGAAGATTTTGAACTGACACCCAAAGGCCTATAAATTCATCAAACCAAAGCCTGAAAGAGAACAGAACCAAAGTAATTTAATGTTGTGAAAGCAGATCCCTCACTGATTATTTATCCCTCACACTTTGCCAGGTAAACCACATGAAAATCAATCACACTTCATTTCCCTCTGCCTTACAATCTGAAATATACCCCTACTGATCACAACTGCCATGAGCTCCTATTCTGAATTCACTCGAGGCAAGGATGCAAACCCTTCACATCAGTCCCTTAAATTCACCTTTACAAACTATATTCCCTCTCCTCCTAACACTCTGACACACCCAACCCAGATCTCTACATGCACTATACATCTCTGGCTTGGGTTTCAAAGTTCAATAGCTCTGTGTTAAAGATGATCCAGATGCTGTCCTGTCCTGCAGGTGTTTTCTCTTCAATTCTCAAACCTATTTCAAGCAATAGTCTGACTGTGTCACATCTCCACAGTGAACTGGAGACCTCTTCCTCCCACTCCCATTATCTGTATTAAGCACAGTACTTTAACCTACATGAAAGACTCATCACAAGCTACTCCAAATTAAACAGGAGGGAGGATTTAAAGCTGTACTATGGTTCATGATTTTTACTTGCAAGACTACTCCTTCAGAATTAAAGTGCACTTAATTCAATGTAGTTTGCTTTGTTGTATGCGCTGCACTTTACTCTAGAGAATGCAGAGCTCATTAGAGAAGAGGCACTAAGATTCCTCCAGGTTACTTTGACAAAAGGAAGAGGTTGACAGAATTTCTGTCTTGAACTCCTTCCAAAATTGCTGTTGAAAGCCACCATTGACTTCAAGTCGTCCTGAAAAAGATAATTCCTTGCATTTGCAACAGAACACTATTCATTGGCACTCACTTGAAACCTTTGTGGTGAAGTTCAGGGGGAAGGGTAGTAGGCAGGAAGAGCTCAAAGTAGGTAATAGCCTTCTGCATGGTCACATCAAAGGGACACATTAAAGGCCTCCATTCATCCAGCATCTCCTCAGTGGCATCTTCTGGAAAATACCTGAAAACAAGGAAACCATCGAACACACACAGACTTGGCTTTAAAATTCTGGGTGTTATTTTAAACATATTGAAAACTAGCTACTAATTTGTCATAAAGCTTAGTTTTCCAGTAAAACCACTTGCCCAGTCACAGTCCTCAGCCCCACATAATCTTCACAAAAACACACAGTTAAATCAAGGACATTGTGGGGCATCATTTGAACACCACAAATTAAAAGGATTCTTGTCTTGTTTAATCAGAAAAGCATACACACAATGCAAAACCATCTCATTGTGAAGGCTGGCCAGAAATCAAACTACCACCATACACATTTGATGCAGCATAAAAAAAGATCACTTAAGGATCATTTACAGAAGCATTTCAAGAATGCTGGTTAAGTTCTTTTAAAACAAGCTAAGTATCCATGCAATGCAGTATTTCAAATGCATATATTGCAGCCAAGGCTGTTAAACAGGAAATAAAACAATAAACAAGCTTACACTTTGCTTAAATATTACAACATGGAACATGCCTGTCACTATTTTCACTTTTCTTCCCCTTCCTAAAGGAATACTAAAGATATTAAACCCACTTACGGTCTGCAGCTCTTCACAAGTGTTTTCAGAACACTTTCTACAGAACTGAAACAAGAAAGAAAACATTAGTATACTACCAAATTTCAGTGACAGCTTAAAATAAACAACCATTTGCTGACCTTTCCCTCAAGAGCTTAAGATAATGTTGATGCAATTAGATGTCTTCTGTGAACATGCAGTAGCTAATTGCCTTTACACAGACCTAATGGTAAGGATTAAAATTGCTCTGCTCAGCTCCTGCTTCTACTTTTCACATGCTACTCTGGTATTTGCTGTGTTTAAGTGAAGAATTATTATCATTTCATGGAAGTAACATCCTGCATTTTATCCATGAATAACCAGCAGAACAAACTAACTTCTCAGGGCAGTTGAAAGCACCAATACAAAAATGGGTTTATGGACTTCATGAATATTTGTAAGATAAATAAAGGCAATAGACTTCAGGAAGTTGTTATTTTTAGGCTCCAAACACCAGATCTGTCCTTTTCAAACTGGTTTTGGTTTCTGTCCAGTGGTTCTAACACAAGTGAACTATCTGCAAATCAACAGTTATTTCATTAGGTTCCCACACAGGTAACAGCCGAGAAATTGAGAAATCATTTCAACACACATTGTCACAGGATATCACCAAACCACTTAAAAAGGACTCAGAATCAAGAATAAAAGGGGAATAGAGACAGTGATCAATCAGTGGAACCATAACAGTAGTAAATTGTCATGTTCTTCAAATCTTCTGCTCATTACACAACAGCCTCAAGACTAAATTGTACTTTTACCCAGAAAAAATACCCTGAATCAAAAATTCTGAAGAACTTCCTACATCTTTTAGATATTCTGTCTGTATTCTGAAGAGAAAAATTGCATCCTTTAGTTCATCAGCCAGAATTAACATAGAGAAATGCTGTTTTGCTCAGAAAAACGATGAGACAAACATACCATCTTTAGAACTTTACCAAAGATCAGTGAATTCTGAGAGACAAATGCTGAGCATGCACACACTCTCTCTCTAATCCTACACAAAATAAACTGATCCCATACAACCCAGGAGAAACACAAAATGGATAAAGCACTATTTCCCTTCCATACTCAATGCAAGTCAGCAAAGCCCACCCAGCCCTCAGAGCACTACTTCAGTGCACGGAGTGCTCTAGAAGATGCAAAATTATGTATATTTTATGCAACAGTGACAAACCCAAGTCAGGACCTCTCCCAGAAAGAACATTTTGAGTTGACTGATTGCTTCTAAAATTTGAATAGGAATGGCCACTCATTATACAAAAATGAGATCAAACTCTCAAAGAGCTCATGAAGATTCTGGGTTCAAGTGAATTTTGTCCTTGAATGAGTTAGAAAAGAGGTAACAGTTCCAAGAGTAGATGGATAAAGCATGAACCAGCAACATTCCTTAAGATCATTAAAAATGAACACGATAAATGTCTAACAAAACAAACAACAAGGTTATCCCCACACACTCATGTTCCACTGAAGTCAATGTCACTAAGGAAAACCTACAGGATGGGAATTTTCATAACCACTGAGGGCAGAGATTAAGTTCTCAGTCAGATCTCAGCAGTGTGAGAGAGCAAAGGAATAAGACTGGCATGCCCCCTCCTGTCTTCTGATCACAAATTTAGGACGCCAGAAAGGAAAAAAACAACACCAGACAATTTGGTACCGAAGGAACCTCCACCTAAGACAGCTCAAGTACAGCCCAGCTACAGGAGACATCCTGTCAGATTCCCATTGCTGACTGCTAGCCAGGAAAAGACAACACAGCTAGGGAGATACACTAAAAACACAGAACAAGCCTTTTCAGCCCTATCACTAGTTATCTTTTTGACACTGTATGATTATTTTCTTCTTTTGATGAGATTGATTTGCAAATCTGGAGTTTTTCCTGCCTTTTCAAAGAGAAACATGTTCCAGTTAAAACTATTAACATATAAACTGATGCTCTTGATTCTTATTTTATCAAAAAGCACAGTTTTCACTTTTTCAGGAGAGGTTCAGGGCAATTCTAGTCCTGAATTCTAGACCCAAAGTCTACTTCTGTCCTGAAGTAGACACTCCATCACAAAGCTTAAATTAAGGCCATGAAAAGAGCAACCAGCTATAGCTTCACAAATTATTTTAGCGATTGTCTAACTACAGTAAGCCAAATATCAACCTCTCACTGGATTGCTACAACTGAAACTTTCTGAAAGACCCAAGTAAAAAGCACTGCAATTCCTCTGCCACTTACACCAGTTTTCTGAGTTTACAGAGACACCAAAATTGCTGATAGAGCTTCCCTGCAAGAATTCACTGTTACCTTTCAATACAGAAATGCTTCAGAGGCACAAGGCTGTTGCTGGGTGTGTTTTCCAGACCCTATTACCTCACTGCTCAAGCACTTTCCATGATTTCATGGGGCTGGATAGGAAGGAACACTCACTCCAAACATGCTCCTACACCAATGCAGATTTTATTCACACCAGACACAATAATGATTCCAATGTAAAACTCTTTTCATTTGACCCCTGAAATATCTTTGCCGGTTAAATTAGTTAGCAGAGAGGCACTGGATCAGCCACTTCACACACACTGCCTTGACCCCAGTTAGAAAGGTTGACATACAGTGCAACATTCTCATAACCAGTGGTGTCATGTTAACATTGGGTTTCCAATCCAATTACTTATGCAGGAAAATGACACTTGTGTGACAAGTGTTACAGTCTGACAGAACATGCAGAAGATGACACATGGGCCAGAGCTGAACAAAAAAAGTCATTCTTACCACCTATGTAATACATTAAGCACAATTGTTTTAGGTGAAGACAAGCCTGGTCGATATGAACTGAATGTAAAACAAAAATAGAATGAAAACAAGAGTTAATTTAACAGTTACAAATCAAATCAATCAGTCAGCCTTGACCTCCACCAAAAAGAGAACCCTCAAAAAAGAATGAGCACTGTATGAGAAGGAATTGCACTGCATATGAAGGTGGAGTGGTACCTAACACAGTTAATAGAAGACATCTTTCTCCTGGCTTCACCTTCTTTTCCCTCTTGGAAAAGGTCCCACCCCACTACACATGTAAATGGGAAGTGAGAGCAAGGTGAACAGGGGCAAAAATAAGGAATAAACCAAAAATAAACCAAGGTAGGCTCTGCTCTTTGCATTTTCACCTACAACTCCCAAATAATGCAACTGAGCAAAGCGATTTTTCCAGCTACACAGACACCAGACAAATTCAGCCTGACATGCTCTGTATTGAGTTACTCCATGTATTCTCCATGTCTCCCTACTCCATGCATTTTCTGTGCACAGCCCTTCCCTGCAATAGAATCTTCCCCTCATGAACAGCAATCAGTGGCAGTGCTTCTGTATTAGTCAGGAAATGATTCTTTTTAAAGCCAATTAAGCATTTTCACCTGCATTTCTTGACATGAAGTTTCAAGTCAAACAAATATAATGCATTGTTCATGTGCTATATTTCAAAATCTCTAGTTTATAGAGAAGGAGCTTCTTTAATTGAGATTAGGAAAATTGTAATTCCAGGAATTTGATGGATGGGGAGAGATTCACAGGCAAAGAACACAATTTTTCATGTCTAAAGTCTGTACGACATGTCTGAAATTCTAAACTGGAGAACAAATTTGTTCTTCTCTATCGTATAATCACTTTTGAGTACGTAACTGTATGTTTATAGAAGCTATTTCACTTTTCTTGTTGTGCATACTCATTTATACCTGGATTCCAGATCCTGGGAAGGATCACAGCACAGATATTACAGACCAGTACCATTTGTATTTTCTTCCCCAAACCTTACTGTGTTATAGAACAGAACAGCAGACACTTAACTAAGTATCTGTGCCAGTTTTGGCTGGGGTAGAGTTAAGTTTCTTCACATTATTACCTATCTTGAGCTCTACCCATGAGTTTTGTCACTTTTACCCTTCCACCTCTCTCCCCATCCCACTGGGAGGGCAGTGAGTGAGTGACTGTGCAGGGCTTAGTTGCCAGCTGGGGTGAAACCATGACAGTATCATTAGATGTTTCTTAATAAATTTGTTAAACTGGGGATTATCATCCTAAAATAAGATGAAGAGCCTTGTTCCAGTGTATTTAGAAATTAACCACATTCACAAAGAAACACACATGACAAATACAAGCCACTGGCAGAAAGATGTACATTTAGTGTAGCCTTGCATGCCATGACTGAACTATGCTTATACAAACAGATTATTCCCCATGTATCAAATTCCAGATATTAAAAGCAAATTACTAAGTACTTTAAAGCATTACAGGTACTTATAGCCCACCAAATGCTTTGAAACGTGAACTTACTTTGGAAACCAATTTAATCCCAGATGTTCTGTTTTGGAGTACAATACCCTTTCCAACATTTCATACAGTGGTCTCCATGGTAACTCTAAATCATCCCTGGAAAGTAGTTCTTTTTTCCTAATGGAAAACAAAACACCAAGCACTTCAGTATCAAACACTTATATGGACAGGGAATACCCCCAATCCCTGCACCCAACTTGGCCCAAACTGCAGGAAGGTCAGGCAGGACAGGGCTGGCCACTGGCAGCATTCTGCACAGGTGTCAAGATTGTCCTGAATGAAACATTGTCAAGTCCTGAGAGTCTTTGTCATCTCCCTGTCTGCGATTCAACCGTAATATTTGGCTCTCTGAGATGTTTGATTTTTCTAAGGGGGAAAATTGACATTTCTTCACTTTCAATACTGCTCCCAAAGCTTTGAAAGCTGCACGATGTTTACAGAAGGAGAACTCTTTAACCTGCACAGGGAAGATGAGTGAAGTAACCTGTGACAGAACACACTATTGCACTCCACAAGAACATTAAGCAAGGGAAGTGATCAGCTGCTCCAAGAGGGAAGTTCCAGCAGTCAGCAGAAATCTGTACTCACTTTAAGAGGTTTATGAGCAGCCGTGCAAACCCTTGCATCATGCTGATTTCCAGTTTGGGAATTGTCACCAACTCATACAACAGTTTGATGAAGAGCACATGATCTTCTCTGCTGAATTTCCTCCCATACAGTCGGATGTATCTGCAAACCAAACAGGATGAGTCAGCAATACTTTTAAACATTTCCATTTCCCCCAAGACCTGAGCCAGAACTCTGACTTGCTGTTCAATGAAACAAAACCAAAACCTGGTTCTCAAGTTCAACAAATAAGAACCTGAAGACACACAAGGGAAGATGGACAGCTACAACCACAGGAAGAAAAAGAATGACCAAATGAAGGTTACAGTCATCTAAGATACTATAAATATTGCAACTTCATGGAGAAGCAACCCAGAAGCTAAAAAAACCAATCCAGAAAGTATCAAGTCAAGTCCAAATCCAAGACCTTTCAGTAAAACTAAACAATTGATTTAGATTTCATTACTGCTTCAACTATTCCCAAGGATTAGGAAAGATAACTTCATAAGAAATCTTCATTCTACTTCCCTTTCCCTGTTGATTTCAGGGAGGGATTGTTACATTTGTTGTGCAATGCTTACACTAATGTTCATTTCAACATGCTATATTTATTTGAAATGTAGAAGGAAACAAAATAGAGGATAACCCACTTTTCCACCACAGGAACCTAAATTATCTGGATTGGCCAGAGACACAACCTACCTACAGGATTACACCATCAACAGCTGAACACCTACGCTTTTCACATGCCTGAAATGGACATGCAAAAAGAATCCCCAAGGAAAGAAAAAAGAGTGATTAAAAAAAAAACCAAAACACCTGCAGAAGCCTGGAAAATAAGTTTTAACTACAAGGAAACAGAGATGCAATGTATCTGTCAGCATTGCTATATATAACTGAAAACAGTGTTTGGCTGGTTCTCCTTGCCATTTGCTAACAACAGTTCTGTTCTACAAAATGCTGTTTCATTAAGAAACAGAAGAAGGAGTTAAGCACACAGACAAAGATGTCACTACAGGCAAGCAGCAGGACTAGATGCCAAACTGCTCCGGAATTCTACAGCTTCTTTATGCAGGAGGGAGACAGATTTCAAAACAGTTATTTGCCTTAATCCAGCTGTGCATTAAGGCAATGACAGAAAACTGACCTCTAGAAAGAGGCTAAGCACCTTCTCCTCAAGATTAAATGAGCAAAACCTAACAGAAGGGAACTACAATATTTTTAGAGTATCCCCATCACCATTACTAAATAAAAGACTCTAGGCAGAACTTTATGAATCCTGAAGGCTTCCTTGGGGCTAAACATCTCATGCTCATCAGAGAAATAGAGAAATAGTGGCTCTTCAGGATTAAAAAAAAAAAATAGTTAATTGGGCTATCAGGGGAAAAATAATTCTTGAACTAAAATCTTGCAAAATAAAAAATAAGATTTTTTTTTACACGAAAGCAGCTAATACTACATTGAAATCTCTACTCTTAATTCTACTTTTTGATTCCTTGGAAGTATTATGAGCTCTCAGCCTCCACCTGTCCTGCAAAATTACTTGTCCTTCATTGTGCTGGTCCTCTGAGTTCTGAGCTGGAGTTCAGCTATACGGAGAGGAAAAAAAAAAACCCAAACAAAACCCACCCACACGACCTAAAAAACACCATTAGGAAGTGAAAAATTTGTTTGCAGTTCCATCCTTTCTGTCCAGAGCACAGGGGCTCTGGAGATTACAAACTAAACAGGACCAAAAAGCCAATTCCCTAATCCAGGAGTACTGGGTATCCAATCTCTCACTCCACAAGCACAATAGGCCTATTTTTAGGAAATGTACTATGGTATCAAGTGACCATCCTGAACTGCCCTAGAAAGTTGGCTGCTCTGCTACAGTTAAAAATTACCTTCACTTCAGAAGCTTAACAGTGCACTCTGCTAAATTCCTGGCTGTGCATTTTCATTTTCTAACACACAGGACAGGATCATGATCGGTTTAAAGCTGAATTTTTGACAAATGATATGGAAAACAATGAATCACACTCAGCAAGAATGTTTAAATCACATGTACATCTACACAGCACACATATCCCTAATGCACCCAAAAGGAAAGCCTCCGGTTTTCTGACTAAGATGAGCGTATATGTCAAACAAGACTTATAGGCAACAGTGACTGAAATACTGAGATGTTTCCATCCTCACTGTAACTTTGTGTCCTGTCACTATTCCAAACAGTTGAGCTGCATTTTTTCCCACACCTTACAGCAAGACAGTTCAACGTCAGTTTATATGTCTATACCTGTCAAGCACATAAAATAACAGTCAGGGACAGAAAGTGTGTCCCTCAGCTTCCAAGACTTATGTCTAGTGGAGCAGAAAGCACAAAGAGACACTGGTATGTTTTCTTGGCTGCAGAGCCAACTACATGTACAGTAACTATGAAATGTTCATATTAGACCAACATCCACATTTATGGGACATATTCTAAAAATAAAAACAATTAAAAATACTCTGTAAAACATAAAAGAGGGAAAATTGGAAAAGCAGCTACTTGTGACCTAGAGACCATAAAAGACTATGGTGCAAGGCCAGTTAAGCAAATGATTTTGCTGCAACCTGCTTTTCCCACAGGCTGTGGCAAGTCTCACAGCTGAGACTCACTCTTTGCTTTCACAACGGGGTGAGTATTTTACAAGACATAGATTTTACTAGCCCAGGCTGGAGGACTCTTGAGGTAATGATTACAGATTGAACTGAGGCAAGTAGTTCTAGTTGCTCCAGAAGCCCCACCAAGTTGTAAGTTACTCAAGTAACTGCACTAGTCCTGTCTTCACAGGAAAGTTAACACACCACACACATCCCCCAACCAAAGAACTAGTTAGCATCCCTGAAAACTACCCATAAAAGAATGATGCAAATCAGCTTACACACATTATACCTGATAAACTCCAGTTCTGCCTTTTTTTTTCTCCCCTTGCTACTCAGCATGTGACAACAAACAGCCCGAACAGCTGCTCTGAAGATAACTATGTGCAAGTCATGTTTCCAGCTGTGGGGAGCATAAGGAATACACCATCTCAAGTTCAGCTGTCATCATGAAACAGTACTCAAGTTTTTAATTCCAAGAAAAGGTAAGTTTCACTTTCATTCTTCATACTTTAGCACAAAGAGTTGGGTGAAACTGTGAGTACCTGAGGAGGTGTAACTATGCAGGTGTATCATCTGCATACCAGTGTTTTCTTTACTCACTTTATGTACACACACATATCACAGTGTTTGTATAACACTGGTATCTGTACAACAAATTAATTAAAGACATAAATTATTTCACAGAATACTGTGAGAACATGAGCTGTTGCAATTCGGACACTTCTACAAAGCCATAAAACTATTATGAAGATTCTGGGCGTTTCATCTATTAATTATAGCTGTCCAGAGGGGAAACAGGCAGCAAGCTCATTTGGAGATGAATCCCTGACTATCAAGAGACAGCAAAACTTTGATTCTGTTGTCATTATTCTGTAATTTGACTGAGGTGTGACAGCAGACCACATGGTTGGAAGTGTTTTACCTCAGTTTAAGCTTTTACTAACATATTTGGTTTGGGTTGGAAGGACCTTAAACATCATCTAGTTCCACCCCTTGACATAGGCAGGGACACCTTCTACTCGTCCAGGTTGCTTCAAGCTCTGTCCAGCCTGGCCTTAAACACTTCTAGGGATGGGGCAGCCACAGCTTCTCTGGGAAACCTGTGCCAATGCCTCACCACCTTCACAGGGAAGAATTTCTTCCTAATACCCAATCTAAACCCCTTCCCTGTCAGTGTGAAGCCATTCCCCCTTGTCACTCCAGGCCTTTGTAAATAGTCTCTCTCCATCTTTCTTGTCAGTTCCCTTCAAGTATTGGAAGGCCACAGTGTGGTCACCTCAAAGCTTCTCTTCTCCAGAACAATCACAATTCTCTCAGCCCTTCACCCCACAGAAGTACCTTTTCAAGTCAAACTAAGCAGTAAGACATCTCTCACGTTAACTACACCAGCTTTGTCACTCCAGGCCTTTGTAAATAGTCTCTCTCCATCTTTCTTGTCAGTTCCCTTCAAGTATTGGAAGGCCACAGTGTGGTCACCTCAAAGCTTCTCTTCTCCAGAACAATCACAATTCTCTCAGCCCTTCACCCCACAGAAGTACCTTTTCAAGTCAAACTAAGCAGTAAGACATCTCTCACGTTAACTACACCAGCTTATGCACCAAGCCC